AACATTATTTTAAAATATTTAAGGAACAGTACAAATGAACCTCTGAGTATGAAATACACATGTAAAAAGCTAGTAATTTTATGCACTTCAATTTGTGCCTGTAGGTACAAAAAAGAGTACCTATACATTAGTAAAGACAGTGAATGCTGATGGTGTATTCAGATATGTAAAAGGAAAGAAAAGACCATAAAAACATGCCAATAAAGACTATTTATAAAGCTCTACCATGTGAAACCATGACTAGGTTAGTCCAACATCTAGTAATATGAATAAACACATTTTTTCATGTTAGATAAATAAAATATAATTGTTTCAAATAAGAATCCAAATCTGATTGTATAAGATGGCAGTTAAATAACCCATAATGTATTAAATAACCTATAACAGGTGGTTCATTTTTTTCCTGACAACTGTTTATTTCAATACAGTACTTGCTTGTTTCAGCCATCTATACTATGTAAATTCAAGTAGACATTAAACCAATTATAAAACATATGAATATAGGTAAAGTAATAGATGTAAGTTCTATGAAATAATTATATCTCACAAAAAAAAAAAAAAAAAAAAAAAAAAGTTATTTCAGCTTGCAATTAACTTAAAGATCCCTTAATGTAGTAAAGCATTATTTGACCCAATAAGAAAGCACAACTGATCAGTGTTTCACCAGACCTTTCATTATCTCATTATTTCTGAATGCACTTTCATCACACTTCGTAACAATGGATGTCTCTCTCATATTTAGATATTGGAGCTTATGAGAATTGTTTTTTTTTTGTGTGTGTTTTTTTTTTGTTTGTTTGGTTTGGTTTGGTTTGGTTTTGGTTTGGTTTGGTTGGAAGGTTGGTTGTTTTTTCTTTTTAAATATCTAATTTTATATAACGTGTTAGAATAAATGAAAATCTTTCCAACTTTCATTCTTTGAAATGTGCGTAAATAGGATCACACTTCCTGATCCACTCAGTTAGGAAGCTGATAAATTGTTCAATTTTAAATTCCAAGTACAGCTAGTATTAAGGAATCTAATAGGCTTCATCAGATATGATTCTTTCCTTAGAAAGAATATTAAATTGCTCTTCCAGAACTTTCTTTGAGGTAATTTTCTTTGATTCTAGTGCTCTGGAAGGGTGGGATAACAGTGGGATAACATGATCTTATTGGCATGTGACATGTAGCACTTAAAATTCTGCACTTTGTGAACAAAGAACATTATTCACACCTGGGAAACAGTCACTAGGTCTCTTCAATCAAGCTGTGGCCCAGTGAGAACATAGAACACTGAAAACGTGAATCTAGTTTAATAAATATTTATAGGCCATAAGTATTCATCAGTAATTAAAATGTTAATGCTATAACAAATTCAAGTATTATGCATGCACACCCTGGGATTAATGCACTATAAAACCTTTCTCTGCAGTAGAAAGGACAGCGGGTGGACTCTTGGTTTGCAGTCAAGTTCAGCATTTTTAAGTAAGGGAAGGTCCATGATAAACTCAGAAGGGGGACTTTGTGAGACTCCGCAATATATTTGTAGAAGCAAATATTTGTGAGTTCTGTGATCTATGAATTTTCAAATTGGAAATAAAACCTCTGTGCAAACAATGTAGCCCTTTGGGAAGAATAGGAATTGACCATGTGCTAAGTCAAAGTCTGCTCTGAATAAAAAATACTCCCCTCCTAAAGTAAGAAAAAAGGAAATGTCATGTCAGAAAACGCCAAACTCAAAATTATGCTTTGTAGCACTTGCAAGGTAATACATAGATCATAGATACATAGATCACTGAGCCAGTAGCATCAGCATGAATCTCAGCATGGGTTTCTCTTTTTCAGTTAGGTTCTTCCCCATAATAGCTGTTTACTTCTGTTTTTAGGATTGTTGCAATCCAGTCTAGAGGAGAATCTTTTACTTGATGCACATGGAAGAGCTTATTTGAAGTACAGTGAGTCCTGCAACAAGCAATCTTATAAATATACTATTCTATCTTGTGTGTAACTGAAACATCTGTTGAAATGTCAGTTTTATTATGCAATGTCAATGTAGTAGATTTTCTTATATTTTTTTAGCTCTATTGACATTTTCCTCCTTTTCTTTTACCATACCTGCAAACTTAGTATTAAACATTTGCATGCACTACAGTCTATGTACATTGTTGCTACAGTTTTCACACATAAAATTTGTCCTTGTATGCATAGCAAGAACTTCATTGATACAAAGCACAACTCTTGCATATGCTATTATTAGTAACATCTAACACACATTGAAGATCTCCTCAAAACCAAAAGAGACAGAACGGCTTCCCTAAACAGCAATTCAAGGCACTCAGGATTTTACTTTTCTTCAATCACTATGCAAGTATCAAGAAGTTCAGTGGCAACAAATAAGTGTTCCATTCCCTAAACTAGGAGTTTTTTGCAAAAAAATATTAAAAATACCAGTTTATACATACTATTTTTGCATGGAGAAACTCTGACTTTTGGGGATAAAAAGGGGATAAAAAACACCTATTCTAGTTAAATACCCTGAAACAGCTTCATCTTGCTTCTTTTAAGTACATCAGGAAGCCTTATAAAACCAACACATTGCCCATCCAAAACATTGGCTATTTAGCTGAAATGAGCCCTGTAGGAATTCATTCTGGATCTTATTTTTCTGCTAATGATGATGATTATGATGAATAACTGTCTTCTGATGTTGCTTTTTCTGCTGATTCCTCAGTTCTTGATAGACATATTGTTGCTAAACTTATTGCTGCTGGTCCAACTGCATAATGTGGGGAGAATCCATAGAGATACAAACAAGTTTTTCAGCAACCAAGCGAAGAAACCTGCAATTTTATAAACAGGAAGAAAAATTGCTAGCAATCGCCAAATACTGCAGGATTTATACCATAGCAGGCCAACATCCCAAACAAGATATACTTCAACCTGGAACTGGTTCTGTGTTGTAACACTTTAAAGAAATTTGAAGCCATGTGTTTTGAAGTTAATTGAAACAGTATTTATAAAGTATATATAATATACATACAGAGACCAATTAAGTGCGACAGCTGAAATGGTAGAATTGAAGATTTATACCAGAGGTGAGCACAGAATGTTCAGAGACAACATTGTAATACCAGGATACAGTTTTTGTTATTCTGAAGACAGCTAGTGGGCTCAGCCTGTTGCAGCATTCCAGCAAGTATGTACTGTGGAAAGCTCAACAGAACTCATGGGATTAACGTGCAAAACTGCTGACATTTTTAAAATCTCCAAGGAGTCCAGGTAGATTCAGTAGTTAAATACTGAAGGATATAAATTATTAAATCAATTAAATCAAGGAAATTCACATCTTTGATCTAAGGTAAATAGAAATGAAAAAGAGGATGTGCCTTTTCAGAATAGTATTAGACAATTTATCCTTAAATGGCTGCATACTTCCCCTATTAAAATGACTTGTTTGTACATGCAGAATGAAAGTTAACAAGTGCATGAAAAAAAAAAATCTCAATGTGAGAAACAGGCTGCCTGGTCCCCTGCCCTGACCTGGCATGCTCCAATTCTTTGTAAAGGAACAGTTTGCACTGGAGCCCTCCCGTGGGCTGGCACATAAATCTTAAAAATATCTTCGAAGCCCATCTGCTGTAGTGCTTCATTTTTAATGAAAATGGAAGGTGCCAGCCATAAGTAGTTTTGATACACCAAGTCTCTCCCATAATGACAACCTGTTACATCTCAGAGGAGTCGATTTAAATAGGCAAATATTTCTGGGACTTATTTATGAACTTATGATTAAATGTTCTTAGATATGAATTAAAAACTACAGACAAGACCCAATTAATAGGCCCTTTTGACAATCAGGCAGACAATGTAAGATTGTTAGCTTAGATATATTCTCATGAGTTTGGTCTATTTTGTTTACCACAGGGTCTATTTTGTTTACAACAGATTTTGTACCTGTATTTAGATAAAAACATATTTCCAAGAAATAACTGTCATTTTTTATGTTCTCTTTTCAGAAGGCACATGGCTTTGTTTCCTAACCAGGTCCAACTCAATACAGACATGACAAATAGTGGTGGATGTTAATGTCCAAGAGATTTATTTTTGTGGGGTTTTATACCTTGCAGACAGTGTAGTAAGGAAGCCAGCATAGAATAAGTAGGAATTAATACTTCTAATATTGCACCAGACATGCCTGTCAGTGTGAGTTAACATTTATTACACTTTTAGTAACAGCTCTTAAAAAGCACTGAAAAGTTTTTCTATAAATGTTTTACCCAGTCACGTGAAAAGTAAAATAAAAATATCCAGATGGTTGGGAGATTGGTCACCATTATGTGATCATAATGTACAGTATGACAAAAATAATAGTAAGAAAAACTCTAGGAAATATTTGGAATCACATTTCAGAAATTCAGATTTTTACTTTCCTCATGTTGCAGACCCTGAGTGTAGGAGTTAACCACTTGCTTCAGAGAAGCAAGGAAATAATAAGGAGGTTAAATCTCAAATATTTAAATAAAGTTTTAAAATCCCAGAAGTATAGTAAATCCAGGTATTATTGACACATTAGCTGGGTCACTGAACTTACAATTCTGTGGAAATAGAGGTACTAAAGAACTCTGGAACTTGGATTGTTTCTTCAATACTGCCACAGAACCATTACATATTTATTACACTATCTGGAGTATGATTATTCTATAATCATTTGTATTCCTGCTATAAATCTGAGAAAAGCTCCCTATACAAATGATTAGGGGATTAACTTTCCTTGCGAGTAGGTTCACATTATGCATGGTCAAAGTCATATCACAGACACACATGGAAAGTAACATTTCAAGGGTTATAATTACATTCACATGTTGGCTAATTGGGCCCTCAGGGGCCCAGTTCCTAATTATAAGAGAGTAGGCAGGAAAATACTGGGAAAAAAAAAAAAAAAAAAGTATGTATAGAATGAGTATGAGATTAAATGGGCTATGTTGGCTGTATAAAAGCCGTAAAACCTGATAGGAAAGGAATGCAGTTACTTGCCAAGTATCTCTAAACCATAAAGATTTTTTTTTTTGATGTCATTATCAGAAAAAGATGGGAGGAGGCTGTGCTGTTTTAGAGGAAGCCTGCAAACATCTATTGTAGCCTCAAGAAGAATTTCTTCCTCATTGTACTCATTGTAAGTATATCAAGTAATGATTAAGTCAGATGGGGGGAGGGAGGAGGTAACTTCTTACAGTGACTTTGATATCCAAAGAAGGTGAAAGAAACTTAAAGAAAAAAAAAAAAAAACTTAAACTTAAAGAAAAAATGAAGATAGTTGAATGTGTATGTCACATCAGAAATGAACTGCTCTAAAAAGTTTAGATATTCATTTATTAAAATTGTATAAGCTTTAATGGCTCTATTTATTAGTTTAGCTAAGGGCAGTGTTTTTATCTCCCATAATTGAAAACTATAGTTTATTACCTTGGTTATACACAAGTAAAAAATATAGGCTTTACTTTTGCTCCATGTCTCTCAGGGGGGAATGCATGTAAAAGTTCTATAATTTATACTTTTATAAGGTTGTAATTCATTTTATTTCACAAATGGTATCCTTTTGACGTTTCTATAAAAGTCTCACTGTTTATAGTAGATGTGTAGGTATTACATTACACCCCATAACGGATACTAGCAGGAACCCTAAAGCTGAATAAGAACAAGATTGTCTGTATCTCTTAAACCTGTCACTTTAATTTTCCACTCTATACAGTGCCATACAAGTAGCCTGACACAAGTTCCTGGTAGCTGTTAGACCACAGTCTTGTAACATTTTGAATTTAGTACCTAATCAAATTGCTTTACTTTCAGTACTCTTATCTTGATTTGTACAAATGGATATATGGTACCTTTGTTAAGTATACCCAAAGGAAGAGTATTTTACAGGATTCTACATGCAAATCCTGTTTTATTGTTTATGCCATGGCCCATGTAACCACAGAATTAAAAAGAATTTAAAATGAAATGCAGAAAAATTGAAATCACAATTTTAACAGTCTAATGTCTTGAACCAACCCGATGTTCCACAAGTTCTGAAAGCATGAAAGTTCTGTGAAATAAGACCTCATATGCCAAATCTGGTCTTTGGGAAGTTGAAATTAAATGCTCACCCCTCCAAAAAATATATAAATATATATATATATATATATATATATATATATATATATATATATATATATATATATATATATCACAGAATCTCTAGGTTGGAAGAGACCTCAAGATCATCGAGTCCAACCTCTGACCTAACACTAACAGTCCCCCACTAAACCATATCCCTAAGTTCTACATCTAAACGTCTTTTGAAGACTTCCAGGGATGGTGACTCAACCACCTCCCTGGGCAGCCTGTTCCAATGTCTAACAACCCTTTCAGTAAAGAAATATATATATAGTGTCTAGTTTAGAATTTGTCTTTAGAATTTCCCAGAGTTGAAATCATATAATACTGTAGTTTAAAGTACTTATAAGACTGCTTTTTAAATTTGGATCTCACTTTCACTGTGTGTTTCAATCACATTTGACGTGTACATTTAAGTATCTGGATTTGTTATTCATTATACCTTTGATTTTATTACTCAGTATTGACTGTATTTTTGGCTGGCCAAAGGTATATAAGCATGTTGAAGATACAGGGGGAAGTATTGGGGGAAGAAAAAGTATTGGTGCAAGAGTTAAATAATCCAGCTGAATGGGCTAGCCGTTGTAATGGGGAGATGTGAGGGGTGAGGAAGATAGGGGAATAATAGATACCTTAGCAAGAAAACATTTCATTAGTCACATTCCTCCTATCATACTCTATCAAATTTCTGTATAAGGACATGAATATTGACAGGATGTCCACAGTGACACAGAATCATAGAATATCCTGAGTTGGAAGGGACCCTTAAGGATCATCAAGTCCAACTCTTGACACCGCACAGTCTACTCAAAGTTCAGACTATGTGACTAAGTGCACAGTCCAATCTCTTCTTAAATTCAGACAGGCTCGGTGCAGTGACCACTTCCCTGGGGAGCCTGTTCCAGTGTGCAACCACCCTCTCTGTGAAGAACCCCCTCCTGATGTCAAGCCTAAATTTCCCCTGCCTCAGCTTAACCCCGTTCCCGCAGGTCCTGTCACTGGTGTTAATGGAGAAAAGGTCTCCTGCCTCTCGACACCCCCTTACGAGGAAGTTGTAGACTGTGATGAGGTCTCCCCTCAGCCTCCTCTTCTCCAGGCTGAACAGGCCCAGTGACCTCAGCCGTTCAGAAGTCTACACAAAAGCATCCTCCAACACAAATGTAGGAGTGAAGCTGTCAGCATGGGATGCTGGGACAAAGAACAGTATTTCTCATTTAATCAGATAGGGCAGACTGTTTTGCAGTTGTAGAAATCTCAACATTGTTAATAGCCTTGCCATGCCATCTTTAGATTTCTCACCTAACCTGTCTGAGATGACTCAGATCGGAAATCAGAGTCATTATTTTAGGCCATTTTTACATTCAGAAAATAAATAAATAAATAAATGCACTTCATTGTTATCCAGTACTTTCAACTTAACATTTTAATCATATGCATAATTGACAGAGATATAGTATTTGCAAATAACTGGTAAAAGGAAAAGACTGCCACCTGATCATAAACTGGGGGAAATCAGCACTGTTTCCAGCTTCCCTTCTAAGAAGTGTGGAGATAACAGCTGACATGATGCATAAAGTCAGGAATATTGTTGAAGCTAGGACTGTTTTTCTTTCAAGAGGAAAAAAAGTGTTTAACTGGGATTGTAGATATTACTCACATTTGCAACATATAATAGACACTGTTTGCTCACAAATTTCTTGAAGAAATTCAGAGGGTCAGAACTCCAAAGTGAAGAAGATAATTATGAAGAACTGTAGGAAATAACTGTGCGAAAATTTAGGTTTCAGAAAAGTGGTGAAATCTAAAATGTTATTAATTAACAACCAAGGCAGAAAAAAACTAATGAGTTGCCCAGAGTTTTTTCTGAGTATAGCTCCCTGCAGGAGGATTCAGTAGAGTATTATTAAGAAGAGTTATAGATATTGACCAAGAAAACACATCAATAAATAATCAAAACAGAATCAAATTTACATATGCACTATGAAACTATATATAATTCTTAATTTTTAGATTTTTAGCTATGGTACCTGAAGCACAGAATTCTGATTGTATAAATTCAATACATGTATAATTATCATGCAAAAAATATTAAAAATAGCTCAAGACATTTTTTGAAATGCCAAGGCAACATGGAGAAGGAAAATTAGTCAGTATTTATATTGAGAAAACTTTTTCTATTACAACACGTTCAAGTTATCTATGGAGAAAATTCATAAATTGCGGGGGGGCGGGGGGGGAAGAGGAGTCCTTTGTAAAACAGGAAGTCAAGAGATAAGTAGACCAGAAAAATTTCACTAAAGTTTGGTGGTTACTTGATGAGCAGTTCAGAACTACTAGTCCAGCATTGTATCTTGGAAGGATATGTAAGAACTCACACTAAGTAACAACAGTATTAAAAACCTCACATCTACACATTTTTTTTGCAAGTTATTTCACAAATCATAAACTACCACAAGGTAACAGGATATCATGGTTTCAGGAGTTGTTTTCTTTGCTCTTCACAGGGCCCTGGAAATCAAAACTCACTTACTGAAGACCTCCTAGCTATCAAGAAGTGAAGCCAGCAGAAAACAGACTCTTGGAGACAAGTGTCCCATCAAATTCCATGAGTTTCAAAAACAGAACACTGAGGGAGGTAGTCAAGGAAAAAGTGTAATCTTTAGATGAGGTGTTCAGGTGATAAAAAACTATTTTTCAGTTTGCTACCTGTGCAATAGGCATAACATTTTTTTTTCCTTTCTCACAGATTTTCTTTCAGTTTTTACACTGCAGGATTTCCACAACTGTCTCTTACTGCATGACTTGTAGAGCTTCTAATGCTTACAGCGCAAACATAATAAATTATGGATTTTCTGATAACCCTTTGTAATCAGCCAAATACCTATTTTGTTTTCACAGTACCACCTACATTACTATCTGAAAGTATAAGGCCAAGCACTCTTCACCTCCAATGCATTTTTTTCCCCTGGTGGCCAGAAGAATCAATAGAAGAATCAAGAAAATCAATAGGAAACTATTCCAATAGTACAGCATAAATAACTTTTGTATAGTTATATACTGTTATTTAAAGGGTTACATTCCTTTGCAGTGATGGATAGCAAGTCATGAAATAATTCAGGACTGGTATTTCTACATGTAACCCTCCTAATCTGAATGTTTTGTTCACAAAAAAAAAATAAAGGGAGATGAATAAAAGGAGGTGAATAGGCGGAGCGGAAGGCACAGATCTCTCCTCTCTTGTCACCAGTGGGGACAGCATGGGGACGGTGGGGACTAAGGGAACAGCATGAAGTTGCAACAGGGAAGGTTCAGGCTGGATATCAGGAAAAGATTCTTCAGGAATTGGAACAGGTTAACCAGGAAAGTGGTCACAGCATCCAGCCTGCCTGAGTTCAAGAAGCATCTGGACAATGCTCTCAGACTAATCTGATTTTTGGGTGGTCCTCTGGGGACCCAGGAGTTAGACTCAATGATCCTTGTGGGTCCCTGCCAACTCAGATATTCTATGATTCTATAAATATGGGACCACTTGGTCAAGTCTGTTCAGTATAGCTCTGTTTTGAGGGATGGTTAAGACAATGTGGGTACAGGGAAGAGTAGTCTATTATCAAGAACAGACGAGTGCACTGTCAATTGCCAAAAAGACTAATTTTCACAATAATTATCATGAAATATTTTTCACTTCACAATAAATTCATTAGTTATCTTTTCTTGAACTACCTTAATAAGAAGTTGGGCACCTTAATTAACAAATACACTCTCATACATTGGGACAAGAAAAAAAAAATACAAGAAAATTTTAATGAAGGAAAACAAATAGCTATTTTTCAAGTAAATTGTTCAGTTGAAAGTGGAAGTAATATACCATGACAGAAATCCACACTAATCCTGAAGGGACAGAAATTTGTTAATTAACTAAACCAGGTATAAAGTTTTAACTATTGCAAAGGAAAATTGGAAACTGTTACTGCCTTTAAATTTGTAATACAGACATCATATTTAGAATTTCCAGTTGTGTTTTCCTGACTCCTTTTGTCATTCACAAACTCATTCACCCAAATACAGTAAGTAGTTAGTTGTAAATGATTACATAAAAAGATATTTGTGTCTCTTCAATAATGTCAGTAGCGTGCATACTGAAGCTCTCTGAATATCAACAGTATGAATGTAGTCCCCTGTTGAATAAAGATATATGTTGGACTTAACTTCCAAACGTTTGGTGAGATAAAGTAAAGCAATTAAGAGTTGAATCTACTGCATACTTGGGTCAGTTATTCATTTCTTATTCAGTCCTGTTTGTCTCTTGTTGTTGTTATTGTTCACCACTTTCTAAAGACCGTTTAGCTTCACTAATTGAAAAGCAAGGTATGCATCTCCCTCTTATCAATGCTTGCTAGGGACAGGAGACTCATGAAGGGATTTGTTCCACTACACAAAGTTTGCCATCCACTGCAGGCTTTGCAGAAAGTGCAAGTTCAAAATTTTAAATTAATACTTATGTATCAAGAGGCAGATTTATAGCCTTTACTGTGAAATGTTGTATTTCTTACCTTAAAAGACTTTCACTAAATGTGCTGATGTAGCTTGAATGCAGTCTGAGTGTCACCACTGAATATGCAGTTCTATGAAACAAAACCACATCAGCAAATGCTCAGTAAATAATAGGCCTGCGATATCACAGTCCTGAATTATATTCATAAGCAATTTCCACTCTATTTGCTTAGTTTTTCGGAATACCTTAATACAATACATTGAACAGTTAAGCAATATGGAGCTTTAGGATACAAAAAAATTGTCCATCTTTGGGTTGAAAATAGAGGTAATGCCATTATTCTGGTTTCATAACCCAAGTGATTAAGATTAGCTCTATCAGTTCAGATGAAAAGCTATGGTTAATTTTAAATATTTTGCTGATGTCAGGTTACTCCATTTTAATTTAATTTACTTTTTGGGCCCTATCTGCAGAGTCCAAGTTACTGTTCTGGTCTAGTTTACAACATGACATTAGTTTTTACAGGCCTGATAGGACAGCTGGGATTTACATTCAGACAAGGGATATTTACAGCATTATTTACTAGATGTCAGTTGGTTCTCCAACCCTGTGAAAACATAATGCAGTGCAATTATGAGAAATATAATGAAACATGGGAGTTTCAGAAACCTAGCTAGAAACAAGTCTATCTTATTTTCTGGAGGATTTTTTTAATTTTTTTTAATACTATAACTAAAAAATCAAGTCAAATTTTAACACCAAAATAAGTGTTCATTTATATATAGAGAAGGTTAGAGGAAAGACCTAGAAATCTAATTCTCTTTAAAAGAGTTTAAAAGAGTTTAAAAGAGTTCCTTGCAAAGAGAAGGAAGTCTAGCATAAACATTTAAAGAACAGAACTTTCACCTCAAAAGCCTCACGAGAGAAGTAGAACTAGTCACTCATAAGAAAGAAGAACAAAGAGAACATGAGTTCCTGTTTACAACAGACAATAATTTATATAATCCATAATGACAATATCAACACTGTAAGTATTTTCAGCAACAGATATACCGTAGATTATGCTATACAAGAAAAAGCCCTAACATTTTCATAAAAGTTATAAGGTGGTAACAACAACAAAAATTTCTAACATGAATAGCTCCCTCTCCATATTTTGGGAGAGACAAGATTTGTATTCTCTATACACACAACTCACAGCTGACCCAAGCCTTTTTATTACTCTTCATAAAACTGGGCTCAAGTAAGTTTTTCTCTTTTGGTTTCAAAGGTACTGTGAGGTTGTTCAGGGCTTTGCTCTTTCAGTCTTAATGCTATGTTTTCAACATAAAGTAATGCCTCTATGCCTTTCTTTATTGGAATTTCTCATTCGTATGTTTGTGTGGGCATTTTTTTCCAAAATAATAGAGCATGATATGTAACTAATAATTGTAACTTGAATTCTAATAGAACATTACGTACTGTGTCTGTTCAGCAATCATCAACTGTAATTCAAGTTTTCTTATTTTTCTCTAGGTAAAAATGGAAGTAGCTCATTACTTTAAAAGAGATGTTGTTCAGTATCTATAAAGATTTTTTTTTTCTTTTTTTTTTTTCTGTGTAGTAAATATTTTTTTACAGTGCATGTATGCTCTTTAAGTTTTTCTTTATATAAATGTTTATATATATATATGTTTATATATATGTTCTAATTTTAGTTATAGTAGGGATTTTTCTTTATATTATATATTGTATATTATATATTGTTTATTGTATATATTACATATTAGATATATAAAATATCTAATTGATTTTTTTCAGTTTGTAAATATTTCTAAAAGATATATAGATTGTATTTTGATCACAAAAAATAGGTAAAATAGCTGAAAATACCAGGCTGGTGTAGATTAAATCTACCCATTGAATACCAAAAAGACCTTTGGAGTATTTTTTTTTTTTCTCTTGTACAAGGGGGGCGGGGGAGCAGGTCAGAGAGTACATATCTCACACAGTTTTCTGAAAGCTGTAAATACTAAGACGCCTGGTGATGGCTTCTGGTACGGGTTTTATCCTTTCAAGTATTGGAGTAATATTTTTCATAAATAGTCTGTGCTTAAGCTTCCCTTTTCCTAGTGTCTCTGTATAATACCTGCCCTTGAAGAAAGGTGTATGATGTCTCCTGGGCTAATGGGGATGAGGAAATGGATACACTGAGGATGTTGTTTTTCTACCACAGTACACAAAGCTGTTTTTGCTTTTAAAACAAGGCTCTAATGGTATGACGATCTCAACCTAATTTTAAAAGCAATAAAATTGGTTCCAAAATGTGAAGGATTCAATCTACTTTAAACTTGGCCTAAGAACATATTTGTACAGGTGATCCTATCAGCTTATTAAAATGCAAAAGTCAGATATAGAAGGATGCAAGTAATTCTCTTCCTCTTAGCAGAAATATTCAAAGTGCAAAGGTAGATTGATATGGAGGAAATCTCTTCTGCCCTTGGGGGGCTCTGCACAGTGACCCTTCCTGCCCAATGAGATCTGACAATGTGAAGTCCTGATTCCTGCCCTTATCAGGAGCAGTGGGGAAGCAAACCAATATCTTAAGGGAGTGCTAGCTTGTGCTTGCTACCCTCCAGTGTGATCAGTGACTGCAACAGCTGCAGCAGAGCTGGTATAATTAACATACTTTCCCTCTGAGGTGTGATGCTGAAACAGGAACAATGAAGCAAGAAGTATGGTATGATTAATGAACAAAACAAGCTGTAGAATTAGTCAATGTGTCTCTTCACAGGGTTGCATTATTAAATCCATATGTGTGTGTGAATATACATTTTATATGTGTAGTATCCTTTCAATTCTTATAGTATGTTATTTATATCATATTTAACACCAGTTGTGGTGGATATATATATATATATATATATTATTATTCAGCTTGCTTCTTATGCAGGTGTCATTACTTTTTAACTAGTAGGAAACCAACCATCTGACATTTCAATTTAAATCAGACATGCCATTCATTTTTAATAACATTTATGAATCTCTGAAGTAGAAGAAATCTGTACGCATTTTTAGAAAAACAAAATCAGCAGGAATTAGGAAATCTTTAGTGATACTTTGAGCTTCTTAGCGAAAAAGAGGGCTAACATTTTTTCTGTTTACTTACATGTTCACAACAATTACAGATTTAGGAAGGTTTCTAAGGAAGAAAGATCTTTCTAAAACCTTTAGAAAACCTAAAGGCTTTCAAAATGATTTGTGACTTGTGATCTTGACATTTCTCAATTTCACTATATCTGTCTGTCCATCTCTCAGTTCAACCGGAAAAATGAGTGTGCAGGTGATATAAAATTATTCAGTTCCTTATCCTTTCTGAGGAGACTCAGAAACAGCTTAATTGGAATTCATTATATACAGGTGATAAATTTAAATAAAGGAGCTGGAGGTTTTGAAGTCCTATGCATTTCTTCTCTTGCTTAGCTCTTTACTCTGATGCCCTAAACAGATATCAAAGTATTATAGAACCCATCAAAGTAAAACTTAATGAGATTTTCTGTTGCTTTGCAAAGAGAATACTAACTTTATTTTCTTGCATTATATCAATTTTTATTTTTAAAAAAATATTTTCAATTAATTTTTAAGTTCATTTCGCTTTCCCAAAGTGTCTCTCCAGTTTTGCTTGAGAAGAATATTTACTGCAAATGAGGATCGGTGGTAGTGGTGCTGTTTTCAATGTTCGCTTAAAATAGCTACCCTTCCTAACATTCCTGCTTCACAATACCTATTTGCCAACCCGCCATCATCTGTAAATGCACGCCCTTCTTAAAAACTTATTCAGTAGCATGGGAAAGTGGGTAAGTAGCAATTAAGAGTGCTATCAAATCCTGCCCAAGTAATTACATAATCATTTCAGAGGA